TTTGAACCGCCAGCCTTCTGGTTAGCAGTCAAGTGCCTTAGCCAATATGCTACCAGAGCTCCAGCAAGGTACAACATAATTATCATTTGATGTTTTAGGATAGGGACGAAGAAAGTATTTCCTTCAAGCACAATGCCCAAATTGACCTATAGATTCAGTGCAATCCCTATCAAAATCCTAGCTGATACAGTGGCAGAAATTGACAAGCTAATCCACAATGCCATCTGGTGACTGTAGATAGGGAAACAAACAATAAGCAAAAACTACGTATCTCAGTGGTAAATGCTATGAATAAAAATAAGAGTAGGGAAAGGAGTTAGAAAGTGCCAGTGGTGGAAGTTATTTTAGGCAGTTGTGGTCTGTGAGAGCCTCCCTGAGGAGGTGCCAGATGAGCAGAAACCTGAGGGAGGTGAGGGAGTGAGTCGTGATTTGAAAGAAAAGTTATCTGGGAAGAAGGAACAGCAAGTGCATATGCTCTCAGGGAAAACAAATTTTCAGAGCAGGCCAGTGGGAGTAGAGTGGATGGATGATCCAGGGGGCTTTGGGAGGAGGTGAGATTGAACAAGCAGGCAGAGTGCAAATCATACAGGGCCTCTTAGGACTTTAAAAGATCTGATTTTACTCGGAGTGGAATGGGAAGCCATTTGAAAGTTTAAACTAACTAGGGAAATGATACAAAATTTGTCTACATACATTTTCTATGCAACAGCCAGAATGATGTTTTTAAACTTAGGAATAGAAGTAAGGATATCAGCTAGAAAAGTGTTGCAGTAAACGCATGAGAAAGTGATGTTGGCTACAACTAGGGCAGCATTTCTCAACTATGGATGATTTTGCTCACCCTCAGGAGAAATTTAGTAATGCCCAGTTATCTTTAAGGAGCTGTGGTACCATAGTGCCTAAGGCATTTGCCTGGTAACCAGAAGGCTGGCAATTCTAACCCACCAGCCACTCCTCGGAAGGAAGGTTGGGCAATCTAAGTAATGATACCACCTAGGAAACTCAAGGAGGGGTCGCTATGAGTTGGATTCAATTCTACGGCAGTGAGTTTGGTTTGGTTTCAGTTATCTTTAACCAGAAGGCTGGTGGTTCAAACCCACCAGCCACTCCTCGGAAGGAAGTTGGGCAATCTACTTCCCTAGTGATACCTCCTCGGAAAGGAGGGATCGCTATGAGTCGAATCCAACTTGACAGCAGTGTGTAGTTATCTTTGATTGTCACAATGGGGGGCATGCTACTGGTGGATAGAGGCCAGAAATGATGCTAAACACCCTACAATGTAGGATAGCCCCACAACCAAGACTTAAAAAATAAAAAAACAGCCGTTGAGTCGATTTGACTCATAGCAACCCCTCCTTCAGTTTCTGAGGCGTATCTCTATGGAAGCAGATTGCCCAATCTTCTTCCAAGGAGTGGCTGGTGGGTTTGAACTGCCAGCATTTTGGTTAGCAGTCAAATGCCTTAGGAACTACACCACCAGAGCTCCCAAAACCAAGCCTTACCAGGCCCAAAATGTTAATAGTACTGATGTTGAGAAACCCTTGGACTGAAGTGATAGCAAGGGAGGTGGTTAGAATTGGCCAAATTCACTGCCAAATTCACTGCCAAATTCACTTATGTTTTGAAGACAGAGCCCACAAGATTTGCTAATGTTTCCAAAGTGGAAAGAGAGAGAGGTACTGCTTTAAATATCTGAAGTTTGAGATTCTATTGATACCTAGGGAAGCTGTTGGTTGGAGAGCTAAATATATTTTTCTGGAGTTCAAGGTAGAGAGTGGGGTTCAAGAGACATAGGAGGGGCTGATAATTTCATGTAGGGAGAATGTAGGAAGAATGAGACATTGTAGTATTCAGAGGTCAGTTAGGCAGTGGAGATGAGAAGGGGGTAGTAGGAAAACTAAAATAGAGTGCTATTTTGTAAGAAAGTGTTCAAGAAGGAAGGAATGGGTGAGTTAAATGCTGCTGAAAGGTCAAGATGGAAGTCACTGATGACCTTGTAAAGAGCAGTCCCAGTGGAGTGGTGAGGTTGGAGTGGATTAAAGGGTATACAGGAAGTGAGGCAGTGAGGTGATAATGAGGATGACTGACCATTTAAAGACATGTTCTAAAGCAAAGCAGAAAAATGGTGTGGTAGCTAAAAAGAGACTATAGATCAAATGAATTTTGGATTTTTCTTTTTTTTTTAAAGGTAAGGTCCCTGAGCGGCATGAACTGTTGGTGCCCAGCTACTAACCAAAATATTGCTGGTTTGAATCCACCCAGTGGCACCTTGGAAGAAAGGCCTGGTGATCAGCTTCCATAAAGATTACAACCAAGAAAGCCTTGTGGAACTTAGTAACACATGGGATCACCGGCGGTCAGAGTGGACTCTACAGCATTGGGTTTATGTATACTTATGGGAATGACTGCTCCTGCAATAATCCCCTCATTCTCCTGTGTTCTGTTGTTAGGTGCTGTCAAGTTGGCTCCAACTCATAGGGACCCTATGTACAACACAACGAAACACTTCCCGGTCCGGTGCCATCACCTTTGCTATGTGTCAGCCCGTCATTGCAGCACTGTGTCGATCCATCTCACTGAGGGTCTTCCCCTTTTCCACTGACCCCTGCCTTACCAAGCATGAAATCCTTCTCCAGCCTTCTCGATGTCCTTAAGTAGGAGAGAGGGGATGAAGCACAGGCAGGAGGACACTTTTGGGAGTGGAGATAAGTTCATTATCTTCATTGTGGTTCTGACTCGTAGGGTCCCTGTGTACAACAGATTCACACTGCCCAGCCCTGCCCCATCCTCACAATCGTTGCTATGCTTAAGCCCCTTATTGCAGCCACTGTGTCACTCCATCTCATCGAGGGTCTTCCCCTTTTCAGCTGACCCTCTACTTTTACCAAGCACGATAACCCTTCTCCTGCCTTCTAGATGTCCTTCAGTAGGAGAGCAGGAATGAAGGACGAGCAGATAAATTCATTATCTGATTGTGGTGATCGCTTCATAGGTGTGTACAACATGTGAAAACTTACCCAGCACACTTTAAATATATGTGGTTTTTGTAGGTCATTATACTTCAGTAAAGCTTTTTTTAAAAAAAGCCTACACAAAATGAAGTTGAAATGTTACCAGAGCCGCCAAGGGAAACGCTAACACCGAGCAGGATTAAAAAAAAAAAAAAAAGGAAGGACTTTTATTATATGCTAGCATAGACTCAATGGATTCGCATCCAGAGACTGAGCCCCTAACAAAGGCCACATGGGGCCTTTATGGGATTCTTCTTCTGTGTTCGAGGTAAAATGGTGATTGGTTATTTGCAAAAAGATGCCAGCTAGCAGTTTTTACAGAAGCAAAAAGCAGCTAGCAGTTTTTACAGAAGCAAATAAACATGCTTGAGAGGAAGAGAGGAGGGGGAGTATGGGCAGAGAAGAAGGAAGGCGGAGCAGGGCTGAAAATTTTTCCATTCTATATACATGGTTTTTCAAGCCAGCCGGAGCCCGATGTCTCTGGCCTCACAAGTTGTTTCACTGCTCAACAGAACTTCCCTACTTAGGTTAAGCACAGGTTATATAATTCGTTGTTAATGCTTCTTAAATTCTCCTCTCTCACCTCAGAAAGACTTCTACTAACATTGCCTGATAAATCCGTCCTCTGGTGAGAAAAGTGATTCATAGATACAAAGGATCTTAAGGCTGAAAGTTCTCTTGCAGGCCCCTTCCCCTTTTCCATGGGAGGCTTTCCTTACATGCCCAATCCCACCCTCAGGCCTCCAGTCAGAAGACGGGAGATGGATATCGTGGAATGGCCACTGCTTGACGGTCCCAAGAACCAAAAAAACAAACTCACTGCCATCTAGTCGGTTCCGACTCATAGCGACCCCCAGTGGGTTTCCAAGGTTGCAAATCCTTACCAAAACTGACTGCTTCGTCTTTCTTTCACTGAGCGGATAGTGGGTTTGACAGTTCCAATAATGGGCATTCCGGACTCCAGAGTTGGGCAGAGAGAGCAGTCAGCCTAGTGACCACCAACATCTGCTTTTTCGTCTAAGTCACTACACTGTCAGGGTGTCGCCCCAGGGTCGTAATCAGCATCGGATCGGAAAGCAAACAGAATACAAGGAAATATTTGAAGAGCGCTCTTCTCAGTCCTAATTTTAGTAAGCGAATGAAACCCAAAGAGGTCACACGGTGAATTGGGAGTGGAACGGATGTCCACATTTATGTCTTTTACAGAAGCATGAGAGGGCCGTTTACGCTCTGGCCTGTACAGTTTTAAACCGGCCCCTTCACTCCAAGGTTTTAGTTCCAAGTCGACCCAGTAAACTAAGGACCAAGAGCGGACGGAACAAGAAGGAACTACATTTCCCAACAGGCCGCGGCCGCCGACCGTCCTACCGGGTACACGCAGAGCTAGGCGTGCAGGCGGACGGACACATGGAGCCCGGCAGCCAGTGGCGGAATCTTCCTAGCGGGCCTAACCTAAAGCACTTGACCGATCTCTACTACAGGATCCCGCAGGAGCAGCAAAAGCCAGCGTTGCAGGAGCTGACCAGGGCACATGTTGAGTCCTTTAACTACGCCGTGCGAGACGGGCTCAGCCATGCGGTACAGGTGAGCGCGGCGTCCTCCCAGCCTCGAGTTCCCCAGCGCCGCTTGCCATTACGAGATGAAGCTGGAGGCAGACTGAGAAGAGGGAGCAAAGGGGCTGGAAAAGGGAGGCGAGTCGGGGGTTGGTGAGTGAGGCGCTGGGGCTAGATGAGGCTGGAGCTCGGGGCAGGGCTGGGGTGAAAGAGACACGGAGTTTGGGATGGGGAGGATCCAGAGCGGCAGGGGCGGGAGTAGTGGGACACGTGCCAGGCCAGAGGTCCCAGAACAGTGGCTGGTAGGTCACCGTTTGATCCCAAATCCCGAGCTCTTTGAGCAGGCTAAGCTTAAATTCTCTGGGTACCCCGGAGACCAAAATAAATGCTGAACTGGACGCAGTTCTTTGTCTCGTGAGACTTGGAGCGGAGTCGAGTAGGGTGAGGTGTACGTATTCGTCGTTTTCCTGATTTACGTGGGATTGCGAACTGGTGTTTTGGAGAACAAATTTTGAGTGTTGTGAGGGTGAGGAAGTGACCCATTTGGGGTATGCTTCCCAACCATTCACAACGCTAACGCCTGTATGTTACTTGTAGACTTACCTCCAGAGGTTCTGAACCTAGTCGTAGATCAACTGAAGTGTCAGATCATCCTAAAGTTTTTTTTCTCTTAGACCTTTAAAGAGAGATACTACTGAGCACCTGCTCTGCATTAGGCAGGTGTTGAGGAAGATGTAAATGACTAATGGCGTAATGGTAAAGGCATTTGACTGCTAACCAAAAATCTGGCGGTTCAAACCCACCAGCCACTCCTTGGAAGAAGATTGGGCAATCTACTTCCGTAAGGATACCGCCTCCGAAACCCAAGGGGTCGTTATGAGCCCTATCCGACTCAACAGCAGTAGGTTGGTTTTTTTAAAAAAAGGCAAGTTATAATATATTATGCCCAAGAAATTAGGGCCTATGCTTGAGCAGAAAAGTGTAAAAAGTGTAATAGCTTTCTTCTGTAGCATATGCTTAACCAGAGTTTAGATGAGCATGGTGAGGGAAGATCTCTTTTGATGACCATTCTAGTGTCTCCTTGCACTAGGTTCTGTAAGGATGAGGATGAGTGCCCAGTATCATGGTGTAAGGAGGTGGAAGAAAGAGGACATGAAGGCGCTCAGTGCCAGTACTCTTGAGAACTGTTCTGGCAAGGTTTTGTGTAAAGAACTGTGGGGTGACATAGGAGCTGATCCAGATGTTTGAGAAAATTGATGAATTTAAGCAAAGAAGAGAGTGTCTCTCTCTAGGGAGTAAAGGAGCAGAGCCAACTTCCCAGTCTCTGATACTTGAACTCTATTTTGCAAATAATGTGGGTGTCATTAAGATTTCTTTGAAGATTAATGTTCCTAAAGCTGCTGCTGCTTTTTTTTTTTTTTTTTTAATTGTGCTTTGGGTGCAAATTCACATAGCAAGTTTGTTTTATGTTCAACAGTTCATTCACCCCTGGCTTCATGATTACCGTCCCCAACCTTAAGAAACTCTCCTCCTCTCCCCTCCACATGACCATCCCCTCTCCATAACCACCCCCTCCCCGTGCCCCTCTCATCCATGCATTCCTGTCGGTCCAGCCTTCCCTGTATGTGAATGCTGCCCTTCTGGTATCTCATAGCTGCTTGATCCAAGGGGTGCATCTTCCTAGAATAAAGATTTAGAGTTGATCCCTAGGACTAAATATAAAAATGGAAGTTGTCTTTGATAAATGGTCTTTCAGGAAAATGAATCACAAAGAGCACTAGCTGGTGTTGGGCCAGGTTTTACAATGAATATCTAGGGAATGAGAAGGTGTGAAAAAGGCAGGAATGTCAAGTATTTTAGAAGGGCTGAGGGTCAGAGAGCAGACCATGATGTATGTGAGAAGGCCTGGCACTCAAAACCTGTTGGCTCCTTGAGGATAGATAGTGATTGTATCTTAATTATTCTTATATCTCCATATCCAGCAGAGCACCTCACACTTGGGGACTCATAAACTGAACTTCCATGAGGGTGGAGGACCTCCTTTCTATTCTTGGCTCAGTTTTTGGCATTTTCATCCTTCTGACATTAAGGCTAGGAAGTTGTTCATACTTAATACATAGGCTAAATCAGTGGTGTGCTGATATCAGAACAGTGAAGCTACCTACAGAGATTGGTACAGAGAAGCAACTGTGGTGGGAGGGGAAAGAAGAGTGGTGCCCACCACCTTTCCCTTTGCGTGGCCCTGGCTGCCTTGGAATGACATGTACAAGCATCAGCCTTATGAATGGCATTTGGGTGACTGGTCCTAAATCAGAAGAATTTTTTCATACCCTCATCCCTTTCCAGCATTTCTATTATCTTGCTAGGCACAAGGTAAGACCAGAAAAGGCAGGCACTTGGTTCAGATTGAGAACAGAATGGTCAGTGTGATGCCTTCACAAGCCTCCCTTCGTTTCCTACTTAGGAGTGGAGGGCCAGGATTTGAGTTCTGCTATCCCTATAGAACCTGAAGTACCATCTCTTTTTTACTTTATTGTTCTGTTTTCTTCCTCTGCTTGTGCAGATGGCCAGGTCTTTCTCGCATGGAGTGGTTCGTGGGATCAAACTGCCGACCTTTCAGTTAGCAGCTGAGTGCTTAACCACTGTACCACTGGGTCTTCTTATAAATGGATTAGTCTTCCCTTATTATCCAGAGGACTTAACCATCACCTGGCATCAACATATATATGTTTTACTCTCTGTGTCTCACTAGGAAAGAGAAGAGACTAGGAGCTCCACAAAGACAGGAGATTTGTTCTATTCGCAACTGTATCCCTAGAGCCTAATGCTGATATCTGACATCTAGTAGGCATTCAAAAAAGACCTGTGTTAATGCACAATACTTTAAGGTACTTAGGTTATGAGTACACAAAATGTGTCATATTGGCATTAAAGGCATCAGTGTATGCAGAACATATGAGATTTGAAAGAGTCTTAGAAAGTGCCTTGGAAATGTAATTAATAGTGTGAATTGTATTTCAGGCTATCCCTCCCTTTGAATTTGCTTTCAAAGATGAACGTATCTCTCTTACCATTGTGGATGCTGTCATCAGTTCACCCACAGTTCCAAAAGGGAGCATCTGCAAAGAGCTCAAAGTTTATCCAGCAGAATGCCGGGGCCGGAGGAGTACCTATCGGGGAAGGCTGACAGTGAGTACCAGTGACAATGTATGGCTCTGACACTGCACTTCTTAAAGTATAAGACTGGTGCCCAATAAAGTTTATACCAGAATTCTATTTTCTTAATATTACCATCTAGGATATCCTATCTTCTAAATCTGAAGCATAAAATCCTGTAATTTGTGGTTTTCTTCTCATTGTTTTAAAATCCTCATTCGTTCTTGAAGATCTAGATATTTTCTTTTATTACATAATTTTTTCTGTCTCTTGTTTTCATTTAGGCTGATATCAGCTGGGCAGTGAATGGAATCTCAAAAGGAATCATTAAACAGTTTCTTGGCTATGTTCCTATCATGGTGAAGTCCAAGCTTTGCAACTTATACAACCTTCCTCCAAAAGCCCTCATCGAGCACCATGAGGAACCAGAGGTAATTGCAGGGAGGCATGGGACACAATAGAAAAGGCCTGGTTTGAGAGTGAGAAGACATGAAGCTTGTCACTGGCTGTCAGTTTTTTCCTCTGCTTTAATTTCTGGATAGGTAAAATGGCATACATACAGGGTTCAGAATGAAGATCAAATGACACAGTGTATGGAAAAGTGGCTCTGTGTGTAAAAAATATTGTTGTTTGGGGAAGGAACTGGAAGTTTTCCCTAGTTTTCTGAATGATTTATTAGAAAAACTCTTGTCTAAAATGTTCTGCTTTACTGACAGTAAGATTTGGTGAACATATGAGATAATCATATACCATTCCTTCAGCATTTCTTTCATCTATGCCAAGGTGTCCTTGCAGTAGAAGGAATCAAGATGCACAGGCTGCCCACAGGCGAGAGACCGTGTTATATAATGGGGAAGGGGTTTCAGTGTCAGAGGTGGGTTTGATCCCAGCTGTTCCACCTACCACTTGTGTAGTTTGGGGAAGTTTAATCTCCTTGAGCCTCAGTTTCCTCCTCTGAAAATGGAAATAATAGCAATCCCACTCTTTGTTCTGGGCATTAAATATTATGCTAATATAGTGGAGTGCCTAGCAGGATATGGTGGGCAATTGTTAAATAGTAGTTCTGTTTATTATAGAAATGTAATACTGACCAGGACTATTAAAACTATTTTCATATTAGAATGCAGTTGAAAGTAGATTGCAAGCCCAGGGAGAGGCAACTTGCCCTCATATAGAAAGACACACAAAGAACTAGGGAACTTACCTGGACATCTTCTAATGATTTGCTGAAACTAGACAGTCAGATGCATGTCATCTAATTTAAGTTAAAGGTTGGTGTCCCGGAGACTGACTTGTGGTTGCATGATCATGAGTCATACCAGGACCATCACAGCCTAATAGTCAATATCCCAGAACCAATCCTGCAACCCTTTTAAACCTGCAGTTATGTATGTACCCCAGTGATGGTCCTTTCCCCACTTCTGTAGTCCCACCTACGACGGTGACGCATTGACCTACGACCAGTCATAATCTTGAGACTGTTTCCTTTGTTCTCTATCATATATAGTGAACACCATGACTGATTCTGTAGATTCCATCAGCCTCAGTAATGGATACATGTTGATGTTTTCCCTCATCTGGATGATTGTCTTTGTCCTATTTAAGGCTTAATAAAAGGGTCTCTGTATTTAAAAAAAAAAATCCTATTTAGTTCATTCAGATTTCTGGTTTATAGAGTTTTGTGTAGAATCAAATGTTTTTAAAATTACTTGGGAAACCATACTTAGTCTGCAAGCAAAGTAATTAGACTTACTGTCTTCAGTCTTCTTTCTTCATTACTTCTTTAAATGTCATTTGAAGACTGAAGCCATTTTAGGAAGCAGAAAATCAGCTTAGGCCGAACCTGTCAATAGAGGAAAGTACCTGTGATTTACTTCCATCCTTCTTTCCCGTGTCCATAAAAAACAAAAACCTGTTGCTGGTGAGTCAGTGCCAACCCAGGGCAACACCATGTGTTACAGAGTAGTGGGAACTACTTCATATGGTTTTCTTGACAGTAATTTTTCTTTTTAGTGGAATTCCCTTCTCTTTGAATTTCAGCTTAGTTTATTTTTCTCCAAATTGTGATTTGGGTGAAAGTTTACAGAGCAAATTCATCTTCCATATAGTAGTTCACATAAACTTTGTCTTATGACATTGACTATAATTTCCCACAGTGCAACAGCTCTCCTCCCACTTCCTCCCCATAGCTACCTCTTCCATGTGGCCTTCGCTCCCATGCACTCCTGCCCCCAGAGCCGTCTCTATGTGCATATACAGCCTTTCTATTCTCCCATGATTGTTCTCTCCAAGGAATACATCTACCTAGTATAAATGTTCAGCTCATATGCCTGTCTTTTGTTTGGCTGGAAGCCACAG